CAATGAAAATGAAACACAACCTAAGGCCCCTACTGTCAGAGAATGTGAACGGGTGCCTCTGCTTCCTGATTTTGGTGAACTACTGAAGTTATTGAGTAAATCCAGCACTTGAAATAGATGTGACTTTAAAAAGCTAATGCCAGTAAATATTATTGACAGTGTTTTATGGTCTTCGGGTATAGCTACTTCGGTGTAATTATGTAAAACTACATTTATCTGTTCAGAAAATACAGACCTAAATGAGATATTTTATAAGAGATGGATATTTTATGAGAAATGGCATCATAGAGGAGTCGTGACATGGAGACAAATAGGAGCAGGGAGCACGGTTGCTTATAAATATGTAACTGCCTTTGTGATTTCCTCGCTGGGGCAGACAGTGACATTGTCATTCAGTGAGCTAAATTTACTGCTGTCAGGAAGGGATTCAATCTTTTTCCATAGAAGAATTGCTCCCAATTATGTGTGCCCACATCAATAGTTTTAGCCAGTGATGAGGTTGAAATCGGTCAGTTCCTGTAATCCTTGCCAAAGTAAATCTCAAAAGCAAATTATTGGATTTTAGGGGTACTGGGCTTCAACATGACTTACAGAAAAGTTACACATTGAATAAAACTCCATAGAACAAGTTCAGAATAGGTGGTTTTTTTTTTTTAGTTTGGACCAAATTTTGCTTAAGAAAAATGAGAGTTAAAGTGGACCAGGCGACAATACTTGCTAAAGGATGCTGTTGTAATAAATTGGAGACTAGCCGGCAGTTCTGATGATGGCAATTTAAGGAGATTAGAATTTCAAGTTGGAGAGTAGGCTTCGTGCCAGATTTTCCTGTTTTTAAGAGAAAAAAATAGCTTATTCTTGCAGTCCTTACTGCAGTTATACTTCTGCCTATTCATTAACTATGAAAACTAGATTTAAACCATCCAATTAATGATGTATATATATGTTTTCTAGGCACAGAAAGCACTTGTCATCTTACAAATTTCTCAATAACTGCAAGTTGCATAGTTTGACTACATTTCAGGGATGAGCAAAGATACAAAGAAAACTTGAAAGTTCCAGTGAAATATCAATATTTGCATGAAAAAATGAGCATATGTTGTTGCATATATGCATCTAAGCTTGGGGATTCTCCTAGACACATACTGATTTTTTTCCTTTTTTTTTAGAGCTAGATGACATTGAATGAATCAATGTAGTAGTCAGAAAATCAGATATAAATCTAATACAATTTCAAATTCTAATGTATAAAGATATTTTTGTCATGCTATTCGTGTCATAGCCTGCCTATCCCACTAGGCTGTTACCTTTTAATGTCCAAATATTGGCAAGAGATTTAAGGTTATTGGGCTGGCTGTTGGCATTGCTGGCAGGGCAGCGGAGATGGGGAGGCGGAGAAGGAAGAGTAATGCTTTCAGGCAGAGATATTGATTCAAATAAGGATTTAACAGAAGAGGAAATTTGATTTATAATAGAAATTGTCATTTCAATAAATTACATTCACGTGCTGTATATTGAACGGTGTAATCTTTCTGCCTTAAGTTTGGGTGTTGACAGGTATGGGTGTCTCATGACTTAGCACACAGGCTGATAATCATGTTTGCTCCCATATTACCTGCCTGTAATTCATTTAGAAGTGTTCTGCTGTTTTAGAAGAAAATCTTTCAGCTATTACCCATTTCATTTCCCTGCTGATGAGTGGCTGACTATCTGGATCTAACATAACAAGTAAGGATAACACAGAGATCTCTCACCCATAGCCTAAGAGGGGATGGAAAAATTGCTTCCAGAGAAAGCCAGAGCCATTTTCAAGCTTACTGGCTTAGAATACTGAATTTTCTATACAGGCTGCTTCAGCACTTTCACCTCTGACAACTTGTCTTTACTTCAGAGTCGATCTGTTATTTAACAGTTTCCACAGGAAATTTCCTGTCTTGTTTGTGCTGGTGTTTAAAATGCAAATTACCAGCGTTATTACCATCTGCTGACCACAAACTCCTTGTATAGTAAAGTAATCCTACGTAGCAATCCTTGCTATTTAAAAGAAAAAAAAAAAAAGCAGTTCCCTTTTCTCCTCTCAGTGACAGCAAACAAACCATCACAAGAGAGAATCATATATTATGGAACAAAGCCAAGGCAAACAAGCGCACAGTTGACCCTGGAGTCGTAGCAGGAGCTGGCCAGAGTGAATTTAATCAATGAATTCGGCTGTGTCTGGCTTTTTACTATTTATAGCCAAACCAGGTTAGCTCTGGGGATTGTCCATAAGAGTTAACTTCAGGATTAGCTACATCTGAATGAGAATGAAGTCAGCAATTTAGCCTGAAGAAAAAGGAAAAAGAAGAAAAATGGGAAAGGAGCTTGTATTGGGAGGGTTGAATTATTTTTTTCTTACCATCAACTCATACCCAATCTTAATGTTCTGGCTTCGGCTACAGGGAAAAGAGAAGTCACCAGCAAAGTATGTGCTAGGACATGTCATTGCAGGCCATGAAGGAAACAAAGGAGAGAAATTTAAATGTACCAGCACTTGTTTTGTTGCAGTGTCCTGAGTGATCTCTCTTAGGATCATCTGCCAGGGCCTTTTTTTTTTTTTTTTTTTTTTTGACATTTTTCCACAAAAGGAACAACTTGACAGTTGTAAAAATGACCCAATTAAAGCCTCTCTTCCACTTTTTGTCATTCTGTAGGTGAATTAATCTAAATAATGTTCTTCATGCGTTTTTATTCCTCTGAGAAATTGGAAGTGTGTAAATGTTAGTCTGTTTTAAAGAAGCTGTCACCGAAAAAAAAAAAAAAAGAAAACCAGCCATAAAAGACACTTCAGCCTGAACGTTGCCCTGTTTTTCATTTGATTGTGTATTTCAATCTCCGTTAATTATCTGGCTTCCAAATGCAAAGCATGTCCAATTCTTTCCAATATAATATTTAATATTCTGCCTTTCTTCATCATCTTAAGGACACAGATTGTTCTCACCATTCATTTTCTGCACATTTGCAAATACAGTTGCACAGATTGGGAGCCTTATGCTTCTTTCCGTGGCCTTTAATCTCTTCCCTTAAAACTTCTAAATTTCTCTAGTCTCTTTGATCACAAACGCAATAAACCCATCCTCCCTACAGGTTTTAAGAGAATCCCAGATTATGTGGCTAGGAGAGGCAATAAGAGAATTAGAGCTAAGAAAGAAATCAGTCTTGTTCTCTAATGACTTCTTATTTTCTAGTGCAGATAGCATGAGAAGATTACATCTCTGTCTGCAAATCTTACGAGGACAATCTAAGAAGGGGAGAAGTGTAAATGATTAGACAAAAACTTCTGCTAGCACAGAGAAGTGAGAATGTCATTCAGCAAACTTTTGGAATGGAGGAAGTGGTCAGAGAGTGCCTAAGTAGCAAATAAGGCATAGCTGAAACAGCTAAAAATTCATCCTGATTTCGACAGATTGGCAATGGCATCTGCCATCTGCACTTCTAGCAAAGCATTTTAAAGAGAGAGAAAGACTGCAAAATTACATTAGTTAGAGGTGCAGTATGTAGATCAAGCCTGTGATAGAGCAGGGTGCATCTTCAGGTGAGTTATTGGGAAAGAGTCCACATTTAGATCCTTGCAAACACGCAAAGTTATGTATCTGCTTAACGGTATTAGGCTTATATTTAAACCAGGTGCTGATTCAGGGCTTAAGTTGACCTGGAGATGCCCATTTAAGAGAAATTTCTGTTATTTTACTTAAAGCTCAGAGTATATAGTGAAATGCATTTTGTTCCAGAAATAGTTCAACTGATTTTGTCAAGGTGCTGCACTGTATACCTGGATTTTCTTGGAGGGGTGAGAAGGGGGAAGAGAAAGCAAAGAAGCTTATCAAAACCCAACTTATATTATATACATAAGATGTTAAAGTTATCAAAAAAAATTCCAATACTAAGAAAGAACGTTACAGGGAGAGGACCTTTGAGTTCAATTGTTTTTCAAATAATCAACATAATTTTTTTTGCAAAACAAGGATTGGGGAACAAAGTAAGTATACACATAGAAACAGTCCAGAGTTTCCCTTCATTCTGTTCTTCTGCAGTTTCAGATGTTAACATTTTATATCCAGTCCAGTAAGCATTCAGTGTTGCCTTTTATATTCCAGTAGAGAAAGGTGAAGTCAATTTCACTCCAAGATAAATTCAAGTTGTAGTCAAACTAGCTTTTCATTTATTTGAATTATGTTTTCCTGAGCAATGTTCTTCTTACCAGCTGGTACACTAGTTCACTGCACTCCATTGCTCACTTTGAATGCTTTATATGGGAGGCTACGTTTCTTTCAGAAATACTGAAGTAGCATTCTGGTTATTGAATAGCTGTTGGCATTTTGTATACTTAACTGTTTCTGTAAGGTGAAATGAAATGAACAGTGTTCACTACATGTATTTAAAAAACAAACAAACAATATTTATGCTTCCTGGAAATGTTAGCTGTAGAACATTGTGCCCCAAAGGAAAAAAAAAAAAACATTATTAGCTTGTTACTGATCCTGACAGTGCATGCACAACTTCCCTGAATTTTATGGCACCAGTTCATGATAGCCTTTTATTTCCAAGTTCCAAAATCACGAGTGAACATTTATTGCAGACAAAGCCTAAGTCCCATGGGTCACTAAGATACCTAAATGATTAAATTATGGATAGAGTCACAGAAATATACTGTGCTGTAAAGTGAGTATTTTCCATATATGCCCATCATTTGCCTTGCATAGAACAAGGGACTTGGTGTTCAAGGCCAGATCCTAAAGAAATAATAAGAACACATTACTTACATATGATCTTGATAGCATCCATTTTCTTTCCTTTGCCTGCTTGCATACACTGGCACCAGCCCTAGGCTAGAGAATGTGACTGTGTCCCACAGGCAGGTTAGTGTTTCATTGCGCGAGTTATCAAAAATGCCTTTTAACCCTCATTCCAGGTGTGTTTTATAAGTACGTTGTTCTGTTAGTATCATGTTTCTTTAACTCTTGCAGATTTTTGACAATGAAGCTAAAGATCTGGAACGAGAAGTCTGCTTTATTGATATTGCCAGTGATGAAATTCCTGAGCGCTATTACAAAGAATCAGAGGTAAGAGACAACTTGATTGTGAAATGATGAAGGGAATGTAAGAGGCTGCAGTAAAGCCTTGATAGGAATCAAAACAATTTTACTTTGATATGAAATTATGGTGGTCACTAGAATTTTAAAAGCTTTTGATTAAATGGGAAGCTGATAGCAACCTCTCTATCTAGATTGCTTGGCACTTTCTTTTACAGATGACTCCAACTTTTTGAATTGCTTTTATATCCTTATCAGTTTGTGTCCTTTTCATTCAAAATACAAAAGATTTTTCTTTGAATTGGGAAGCTCGTTTAATTGTTTGCAGATCTGAGCAGTTTTAAACATTACTGGTTTCTTTATCCACATCCCACCCCAAGAAAGAAGATGTGAAGTGTCTAAGCCTGAGGCAAAGGACAAATATGCTGCAGTGAGAATAGGGCTGATGCGCAGTTGCTCAGGGGCAACCATGACGTGAGACCAAGAGGGACTGAAGCATACTACCTAATGTAATAAATCTGCTAAAAAGTATCAATGGCAAGCAGACGCATTCGCTGTTCTAAAATTTCCCTGAAAATTGCTCCCATGTATATTTGATTGTTTGTCTGTTTCTTTGGGGTCAATGCAATTAACTATTCTGAACTCAGTAACAACCATGCAAACGAAGATGTGGTCTTAATGTTTTGACATCAGACGTAAAAAACGATGGTTCAGAATGAGTAACTAGAGAGAAGTGATCAGATCTATGCTTGCATTTCATTTTGGAGATATGATTTGCCTCTGGAGCCAAGTATATATTCATAGCTGGCAATGAGTATGGCAGCTGTTTGACTATACAAAGTGAGACTACACAGTCATTTTTAGGATAGAAAATTAAGACTTGCCAATGAATATATTTTTATACCATAGGAGACATGCTTTTCAGACTTAAGAAGTCAGGTGCTTGTTGTCTTCTATTTATAGATCCTATTTGAAATTTTATGTCCCGGTCATAAAATAAAATTGGGTCTACGGTAGAATGAAAAGTAATTTTATTAGTTTCCTTGTGTAATAAAACCAGTCTGTTACATACCAAAAATTATGTAACACCTCATGAAGCAGCTTATTGGTCCCATCACCTTATCTGAACTCCATGATTGTCCGGTTCCATTTAGGAATGATTGCTGTTATTGAACGTATCAGTATTTGACCATGTTTTAAAGAAATCATGGAAGATTTTTCATTTTAGTGTGTGCACTTCCACAAATTGTAAACATGATGGTAACATCTAGTCTTTCAGCTTTCCCATTTTTTGGAGCTAACTATTAAACATAATTTTCATATGATTAATCTCATGATATACAAAACCAGCTTCATCTTAGGTGAGAAAAGAGTTTGAATCCGTGTTGTATTTCAAAGACAAATCTAGAGACCTTATTCAAAGCAAAATGGAATCTTTTTTATGGTTTTAAACAACAAAAATAGACCAGCATCTGTTGTTTTTTCTGTACCGATGGATGACTTATATGTTGGCTTCCAAATTCTGTTTCAGAATTCCTACAAAATGAGAACACCTTAGCATTTAACTGTGCACATACTGTAATTGATAATTGAATTAATAATAGCTGAATTCAGTGAATTCCAAAGTTTACAAACTCTGTATTTTATGCTAACATATGATGAACATGAAGCCAAGTTCCCATTCCTGCTGAGGTCTCTTACATAATTTAGGAACTATAAAAATATTTTTAATGTTTGTAAATGTAATTTCTGTCTGTTTTCAATCATAACAGTATTAAAAAAGTAACTATATATAAACGAGAAATGGTCTGTGTTTTCTAAATAACAGTTTCAGATATAATTAAAAGGTATTTTAATTACACTAATAACAATAATTTAGCTGGTTTTACATCACTTAATCTGAATTGATACTAAGGTTAAAGATTAAAAGTGAAGTACAATCCTCAGGATTAAGAAATAGATCCGACTGGATAAGTGTTCTGACTCTGATCCAGAAAGAGCAATGAGAATGATTTAAATTCAGGCATGTCAGTAATCTCTTCATTTCAATGGCTCTTTCACATGCTTAAAATTAAACAAGTTCTGTATCAGGGTCAGCATACTTACAGAAATAATCCTTAAATTTCTTTTATATCCTGATTAAAATGCGTCCCTCTTCAATTTAAAATATACTTGTTTTTAATGGCAACTTTCATTGTCTAACAGTATTACTCGTATATTGGAGAAGTAGCTTAAATAATTTAAACCTTTTGTACACTACTTAACCTGCTTGGGTTTTGTTAATAAGCCTACATATAGAGGTGGCTTTCTGATATGATCAAGCAGTACTAATTACACAGTTGCAATTAAGCTAGTATTTGTGATTTCAGTTATTTTTAGCTTTAAAGCGTTCACTTGTCCTTGGTAAGCTGTTTGTGTCAAAATCTTAAATTTTTCATTCCTTTCTACATTTTGACTGCAACCTTTCTTTGCACTTGTGCATCAAATTATTCACTGATTAACTTCACAACTAACTTCAGCAGTTTTAGCGTTTTATTTATATAATCAAATGATATGGTTGTGTATATATTGCACAGATATCATTAATAGAAGCAATAATATTGGAGTTACCACTGAAGGCTTCATGAGATATCCAAGGGACCCAAAGCATCAGACATTGAAAAGTCAAAATGTAGTTAGCTGGAGGCTTAAGAAGGGTTGTCATTGCATTAAGGAACATTTTGAAGGAACCTCTGCCAATAATACTGAGTGATCTCGACCAGAATCACTTAAGTGATTTGAACACCCTTAAGAGTGGAGGGCTTATCTGTCAGTGCATGCACAAAGGACTTAAATCACAATGTGGATAATGATTCAGAAGACAGTTTTGTAAGCTATTACAGACATGTACAGAGTCCAGCTCTGTCCTCTATGGAAGCATTTTTAGAAGACTGCAGGAGGTGTAACTGCAGGAATTCTGGATATCCCAAAGCAGATAATGCTTGTTAATTTTAACTTAATGACCATCTATGAACCTCATTGGTAAGTGACCCCCAGAGTCCTTACCACTGCTCCTACACCATAAATGTAGCTTTTTTATAAACATGGACCTAAAACCCCTTAATGTTTTAAGATGTTTAAAAGTAGGGTTCTAAAGTGACAAAGCTTAAATCTAGATCTAAGCTAATAGGTGTGCCTGTTTTTCTATAAAAAGTCATACATTTCCAAATCTGAATGAACGTGTTACATTGAAAATAGAATTATATCTTTATAAAGAAAGTACAATCCTACAGGTAAGAGGATCTGTCTTATTTCCTTGTGACTTTACTATCAATGAGTAAGTATCGCCAGCCATCACATATTCCCCATATAGGCATGTATATTTATCTAAATTATAGAAAAGAACAAAACTGAGCTGTGCTGAAGGGTGAGGGCCTCAAGTGAATCATTCACTGAAATGAAACATTTACTGTAGATATGAGATACTGAGCAAAATGTTCTTTGCCGCTATATTCAAGTTCTCAGAATTAGCAGTGCTTCATTTCCTGTTTATAACAAAGCAGTTGAGTTGGACACATGGAATAAACTTTTTAAGCTACCTCCAAATAGAAAGATTTTGTGCAGCTGCTGCAGTTTCCTTCTTCAATTGCTGCCTTTTTTTGACTTTATCACAGCTGCACTGTAGTAGGTCCGGCTTTCTACTGTCCAGGTTGAATCTGTCACATTCTGAATCCATCACATGCCTTATCCAGAAAACTCTGATGGTTGAAATAATGCAGCTGCCTCAGCTCCCACAGTGAGTGCATGTAGCTTTCAGTACCATAGTTCAGTACAGGACATAAAAACAAATGAAAATACCCTTTTACTTACTAAAGTCAGCTGTGAGCTCACATAAAGGCTGACTGGATTATCATAATTTAACACCTCAGAACTGTCCCTGTATTTATAATTCTTTAAGTATTTAGCTGGCTCTTCCAGAAAACACATTTTTTATGGAAATTCAAAAAGAGAAAAAAAATGTGTTTTAAAAATTACTCCAAATAAATCTCTATAGTAGCGTCTTAACATCAACAAAGCTTTCCAGAGCACTAGGCTAAGTAAGCTAAAATCCAAAACCTAGCAACTAGAGTTGACGGTGAAATGCCAGATCCCATGTATTAAAACCATGAAGGATTGGTTCTGAAATTCAAGATCAAACAAATTGGTTTTCAGCTTAAACAGGGAAGAAAAAAAAAAAAAAAAAAGCATACTGGTGGAATATATTTCAATAGGAGTCTGAAAAAAATGAATCCATGCATGAGAAGGAAGGCTGGAAGAATCTTTTTCTGGGGGCATTTGGATACCATCCAGTAAGAGAATAGGATGTATGGCGTAAGCACAATGCACTTTCACCTGTGGAGACCATATGCAGCTTGAGGATCTTTTCAGTGCTAAAATGACCATACAAACAGCAAGTCATTTTTGAGACAGACCAGTCATGAGATGAGCAAGGTGTCTCATACACCTTCCACCTTACAGACAAAGGGAGGGCGGTCCTATTAGCAGCAGAATAGTATGGAATCTTCAAATCATGCCTGATACCATGGCATAGTTAAGGGAAAGTATACATATTAAGATTTGGAAGTTACATTCCTATAAGCAACAAAAGTGTTTAATTATTTCACTTCAAGTGAAAAATAACATTTCAGAATTAAATCTGAAAAGGCCTTACAACAAGCCAGTGCTGAATTTTCACATCAGTGCTTGCCTCCTGGAGCAGGGGTTACAGTTCCACATCTGATGACAATGATGTCTGCAGTCCGTGGGGTACACTAAGTAAATAAATGCTAAATACAAAATAATGGGATCTCCGACTGTAAGTGTGCTGACTTGGGATCTGACAGATGTGACCTAAGTAAGAAACACGGGGAGAGTGCCATGTTTGGAACCGTACCCATCCCACTGCGGCTTTTACTTAATTTTGCTGTAGTTTTATATTTTATTCTCAAATAAGCCCAGCTCACAGGTAATGATGTTTCTGCTATGTTAGCAGAAGTGCTATTTTTAAATCACTCTGCACCTGGCAATAATGTATTACAAATACAGAGTAGGTTTTACTCCTCTTTAGCAAAAGGATTTGCCAGATGGGCTTTCCTAATAAATTGGGTCTGATAAAAGCACAGGAAGGTTATTTAAACAAAAAAGATTTTTGCTATGCCATTACATTTAAAACAGATTGAGGATTTTGCCAGTAGACAAATTAAGAGGAAAATAGTGAACAGAGGCAGTGTTCTTTGGATGATGGGTTCTATAGAAAGGAAGGCATGGGTGGCAAAAATAAGGTACACATAAAATAGATGACCTAAATAATAACATGAATACGGTTTCAGATGTAGGATCAGCTTGCCTGGTTTCCAGTCACTGATAGAAGTTTTTCAGGCTTCTGTTTGCCATGATTCATGGCCTAGAGAGTATGCTTCTTTATTTCAGCCTGGTGCCTCTGGCATGTGTTAGGCAAATTGCTGTACCTTTCACAGGCAAAAAAAAAGGAAAATCCTTGATCTGGTATGGGGACTGCTCAGCGCTTGCTCCAGGACCTGGAGAGATGTGGGCATGATGCAGGAATCTAATTTGTCCTACCTGACTAATCTAATCAGCTGCAACATGAAGGTCAGGAGGAGGAGCAGTGCTGTGTACTGGTACTTTTTTCTACTTACATTTAATAAAAAAATATCATCACTGCTTCATTTTTTTTTAGAAGAACCTGATGTGCCTAATTGCAGAAAGGGTTCTGTGCTGTGAATCTTAATCTGAGATTTCAAAGCAGTGAGTTAGGCATTTAAAATCCTTCTGGGTTGTGGCATTCACATCAATGTTCTCATTGATTTCAATGGGATCAGATGCTGAAGAGTATAACATTAGCAGTCCTGGTCACACCAAAGGTCTTTCTGGCTTGGGATGCTCCCTGTGGCTGTGACGAACAGCAGAGGCCAAATAAAGGTTTAAATATAAGGAAACACATGGAAATTCTTCCTCTAAATACTTTCTCACATAAACCATAGCACAAGCAACTCCTGAGCAAGAATTAGCATCTTTCTAAAATAATCTGAGACTGTAAGTACCTAATTTTTTTTAGCATCTGGGTAAAACAGCCAGTGATATTAATTTTACTTAGGGCAACTCACCGCTGTAAAACATTTATGCCCTTTGAATTGATGACGAAGAGATTAAACTCTCATGTTCACTTTGCTTAATGTGGCTGTGTGTCTCACATTGCACTTCTCAGCTTATACACAGCCTTCACATACTGCTCCCAGTGAACCAGGTTTTAACTCACCCAGGCAAGCACACAGTAACGTCTTTAACACACTGAACTTTCATACAGCAGTCTGGAAATCTGTTTCTCGGATTCTTTTCTTTCTCCTGGCTTCCATTCATCAGTCTACAATTTTGTAGTACCAATATGTTAACGTTTTCAGAAAGGCAGGCAGTCCCATTAAAGCTATTAGATACAAGTTGCCTATACTGTCCATCATTGCCTGGCTCTTTGCTTGAAGCTGTCCAGCCAATTTGTGACTACACAGCATGTCCTTCAAGAAAAATGGACGTGATTAAGGGAAGTAAAAGTGCCATCTCTGGGCACTCTTAAAAGCGTTTGGAACTAGGAGTGATGTCATGGGTGAACTGCATTACAGTAAATGGATTGTTTGGGGGCCACCAATTTAAAAAGGATTTCCATTATGAATCCACTTGTCTTCTGGGTTTACCTTATTAAATTAATTAATAAATAAGCAAACAAACTAAAACCAAGGGTTGTTGCGGTTTGAACAAGACACAAGTCTTATCTATGACTGAGCAGTCCTGCAGCGTAGCTGTTCATTATTTAATTTTTATTTAAGGATTTTGAAAGTTTGGTAGCAACTCAAATTCATTACATTAATCTCTTTGGACTGTATTGAAGTTACTCCATTATGGATCTGATTATCACTGAACCGACATAAAAGTATCCCCGCATAACACTCAGTATTATTAAAGGGTGATCCAGAGTGCTTAATCAAGACAATGGCTTCATCCCACCAGTGTATGTGTATGTAAGAAACAGCAGACCATCCTTACATAAAATTACTATTTTCTTTTGATTTTCCTTTTTAGAAATACTTATTTTATACTGCAGTATTTTGCGGGAATATTTAAAATGATACTTTCTTCAATCTATTTCTTTACTTATGGAACCATCTATTAGAATTTTACATCTTAGTTCTTTTTACTTTATTATTATTATAGTGCTTGCTTCAGGCAGTAATCAGCTATAAAACAGCTCTTTCAACCAGAAAATATCTAGATCAATCTGAGGTCAAGCTTTATTGAGTGCGAAGAATGGCAACAGCATGTGACTATGAGTTGTGATATACAGTGGTATGTTGCTATGATATATGATGATGCTGAATTGTTTTTTATGGTGATTTAACTTTGAAACTTTATTATACTGCAAGTTTAAAGTTTCTATTTAGAAAAAGAACATGTCAGCAATAAAAGCAATGACTTTCACAGAGAAGGAAGCCTGTCACCTCATTAGAACTTTGTAAATAAGCTTTAATGACAGAGCTTCAGTTTATGGAAAAAAAAAATAAAAATAAAAATAAAACAGAAGCCAAGTCAGGAGACAACTGCACACACTAGAAAAAAGGAATGGTGCTGAATGGTATGTATGGTATGGAAGATCACAATGGAAAGAAGAAATTAAAATCCCAGTAGCCTTATTGATTTGTTAGTTTTTTTTTCTGATCATCTTCCATTGAGCACATAATTAAAGCATACTTAGATAAATGTTTAACAGCTTTTCTAATAAAGGATGAATTTAAAAGAGCTTCCCAGATCTCAGCTTTAGGCAAGGCAACACAGGTGAACACTGGTAGATTTTACAGTTGGTTAAAGACAGCCAGTGTTGAAATCAGTGCTTCATAGTTTTGCCCAAAAGCATCATAACTCAGTTGTAAATAGAAATAGCCAAATTGGAGATTCATACTTAGCCAGCAATCTAGATATACAAGTTCACTTAAAATTGCAAAATATCAGCCAGGGTCGCATCAGTGTTGATGCGTCAAAGCTTAAACTGGACATGATCTCATGAAGACAAGCATGGATAAAAAGCACCTGTAAGTCACACCGGGGGAGCAGTGTAAAAACAAGTCCTAAAGAAACAACATTGCTTCATTGCTTCCAAAGGCCGTAAGTGACACTTGGAGTGCATTGCATTGGAATGACTTGCAATAACATTTTTTCCTATAGTAGAAAATGTCCTAGATCAAATGAGCTCCAAAGTAGCTTCCAAGAATGCCATCAATTCACTGGCATAAAAGACAGGCATAAAAGACAGGATTGGACGTTATTATAGCCTGGCGCTCATTTAAGCCCATTTCATTTTACTTTTTCGTGATGTTTATTAGTGTTTTCATATTTTATATCTTACCAAAACATTTACTTTAGCAGACAGACAAAGAAGACTTCTCCAGGATTTCTGAGTATATTTGCTTTGTTTTGCAGGATCCTAAATATTTCAAGTCACAGAAGACTGGAAGAGGCCAATTAAAAGAAGGCTGGAGAGAGACCCATCAGCCAATTATGTGTTCCTACAAACTTGTGACTGTGAAATTTGAAGTCTGGGGACTTCAAACCAGAGTAGAACAATTTGTACATAAGGTCAGTGAAACAAGAGCTGTTTCTTATCCTTCACGTAAGCAGAACTTGAGTACTATCCTGCACAGGAATATAACTGTGACTATGTTGGAGGTAGGAGGCTTAGCTGAATCTCTCTCAAGGTCTGAGAGATCTGGAGCAAATCCAAAGAGTTCATCTCTGAGTGTAAACTTGACAAAGCCTGGAGTTACTTGGGTCTAAGGCTGAGAAAAAATATCAGTAATATTTTCAGTGCTGTGATAAATATATGACCTAAAGGATTTGTGAGTATAAATGAGTAATGTACAAGTTGCAATGATGTACAGTGTTTCTTACAGATAGTGGGAGAGCTTTCCAATCAGTCTAGTAAAAAATGAATTACTGAATGGCACAACAGGCAAATGATAATACTTTTCAGAGGGTTGACTTTCTACTCATCCAAAGAATTAATAAGGAAAAGGAAGAGTTCCAGTCTGTTTTCCCAAAGATTATGAGATTCAGTACATATTCCCAAATGGCTTCCCATGCTAGTCAAAGCCACGCTGATGTGATCCAGCGTTGGCAGTAGTTCCGTTGTGAGTGGGAGGTTGGACTACAAGACCTTCAGAGCCAGGATGTCTGATTCTCTAGGGTATGTCTTCTTAGAGATAAAACTGACAGAATATTTTTCACATTAAATCTTGTTGAAAGTCAACACTGTCACTTTCCTAAAATGTTTTGTTGCTGCAAAGATATTTAACCTTTTCCTTGTTTCACAGGTGGTCAGAGATATACTATTGATCGGTCACCGGCAGGCATTTGCCTGGGTTGATGAGTGGTATGGTAAGTGTTCTCCAAATTGAGCTCTTTGAGATAAAAAGCGTATCACAATTAACAATTTTCCATTTGCTTTCATAGACCATCAGGTCCTAGCATAAGTTGTTCATGAAAGAGACAGAAATACGTTCAGTTTCTCTGGAACATACGGAGTTCATTTATGGCAGGTTCTTTGCTAGCAAGGATAGATTGTATTTTTGGCAGCTGGTAGGCATCATACAGGGATGCCTCTATATCCCATGCATCTCAGAGTATACATCAGTCCAGTCATCCTGCACTGTAGGCAGATAGAAGCTCTTGTCTCTGCCAAGAGTCATCTATATGGAGAGCTGCATGCAGGTTTTATTAAAGCTTCTTATTAATAATTTCCATACTGCAAACTCCTAGGGCCTCTGATCTAACACATTTTCAGCTTTTTATGAAGGTTTTAAAGTGATAATATGGATTGCAATAACGGAAAGATAGAACTCTAATGTCCTTTCTGAAAAATGAATATAAATAAAAAACCCTCTGGGTCTGATTGAACAGCAGCTGCATGCAAAAACTGTTCTGAATCCATGCACCAGCTGTAGTATTGGGCATAAGTTCACAGGGTTTGTCCTTTGTACGTGTATTTTCAGTAAGATAAAACCATAATCATAGATAGTTGTAGAAGATAAAATATCCATCTAACATATAATAGTTATTTGGGAATATAAATATCTTTGAGAATATCTTATAAATTGAATAGTGCATGAAAAAGCTTGTGCCGTAATGATTATAAAAATAGTGAAATCTACTAATATATATATTACTTCTGTTGTGTAGCCATAAACTAATGCAGTAATTTTATACCCAGTAAGGAAGACTTCCAAGAGCTTTTTTTAAGTTTATATATTTATATATTTATATATATATATAAATTTCTTACCTGAAATGTAGTGATCTACTATTTTCCTGTACAAAATGAAGTCTCCTGTGTGTGTGCATTCATAAGGATAAAGACTTTTGAGAACAGTAGTTACCTGACTAGACTATACTTCTGCTGTTTATTCCCCAAAACAGAAAAAAAAATAGAGATTAAATTTTTTCCCTGGGTAGATCACTTAAGATGTTTTCTAAATTGACTTTTTGACAGCTGATTTAAATTGATTCAGTTATTTTTCAGAACAGATGCAGTTGTGTTGACTTTTCTTACAAAATGTAATAGTTTCTATAACATTAGAACCATGACTGATTTTAATATGTACTGTTCTGACTTTATGTATAAAATAATCAAAGAAAACAAAGAAACTTTAACTGATGACTTTAAATAAAGAAGCCTGACTTCACACAATAATTGAGCCCAGAAATTTGCCCCCAGAATACCTCTTAAAGACAAGACAAAGTAACAGTACTGAGAAGCCAAGAGTGATCTGCACTTTAGCAGAGCTTTTGATAAAAATGACAACAGAGTAATCATGAAATTAAACACATGGAATAGTTTTGGCACAAAAATATTTAGCCACAGATTCTTAACTCTTAATATACCCTGTCAAAAATACTGCTTCTACAAACAAAATACCTCAGTACACAATTATCTGTGGATTTTTACTGTCATGATGTGTCTTATTAAATAATATATTGTAATTTTAGTATGTACTTGTCAGGTGAAGTACAAAACCTAAAAAATCTTGGCTTTCTAAAATAGATATGAATAAAGATTAAATATATAGCAAGGCTTACAAAAGAAGAAGAAAAGAAAGTGCAGAATGTTAATTTAGGTAACTCTCTGTGCTGTCTACTGCCTTTATAGCTCTGCAGTGTTCTGAGAATAGCAGGTGGTAAGACTTGCTGACTAGAACCGAGTATTTCATTATCTTTTTAAAGAGTCTGCTTGCCGTAAATTATTACCTTTTCAATTTAAAGTTTGAGAAAGACTGAGATGGTGCAAGTCAGCTAAACTGAATCAAGTAACCAGTATATTAAAATCAGTTATCAAGCATACTGTTACTGATATTACTGATTGATTACTCTTACTGCTACTGTAAGTATGAATGTGTCTTGTTTAATAAACCGGATTTAGCTTTATTAAGAAAAGTCTACTTTCAGAATGTTAGTTACTAATAAAGAGCATGTTCTTTGCTTGGCAAAATGCATCTTAGCATGTTATCTACATGGCTTATCAGCTCGTCTTCCATTCCAGACAACAGGGGAAAAAAAAAAATAAGTTGAAAGAGTATGTTAGTGGAATTCCTTGTTTTATATTGGTCAAAATTTTAGATTGCACTCCATTTTCACTGATGAAGTATTACAGCATGCTACTAATATAACAGCTGAAGTTATATCTTTCCTTAAGAGCTGTCTCATAAAATGCATCACGACCCACATATTGCATAACAAGAAGTGCTGTGATATAAAGTGCACAAATCCAAATGGCACATAATCAACTTGAGAAAAACAATAGCCTCAAGAACAGAACCATGGCGTACATTACCAAAAATGGTACACATTTCCAAGTGTACTGTGCTAGTAAAGTGGTATTTAAATTGTATGTATAAAAGGTTGATGTCTATTTTCATGAAGCTCCGTAATTATGAAATAATTGCAAAGAATGGACCAAAATTGTGACAGCCATTGTGTTCACTTATACCTTACTCACAAGTAAAATACTCAGAAGAGTAAGGTCACAAGTCAGCTAATTGGATTCTGAATGTTTTTACTAGAAGTATGATTTACGACAAAAACGTCTTTAAATCTTTAACGATTGCTTTGAGTTGCATAGCAAGCGTTTAACATACTACTTGCAAGTTGGACAACATCAGGCATGCCTAGACAATGATAAATGATCCTACCAGTAGAATTACCCTTATTTGTAAAGTATGTGTAATTTTTATAATGCATTAAATGGCTTGAGGCTACAAAGCTATTAACATATTCACTATTAATCCACTTTCTGGTGTAATTAAGTGTTAGCTTCTGGAATCTGAGGTGATGTGTGTTTTAACAGTAAAACTGTTTGCTGGTTTTGAGACACACTATGCAAAGATAATATAAAATCTTTTAGAAAGTTCCTGCAAAGGTAAGTAAATCTTTACAATATTTCTGTATCTGTCCTTTATTCTAAGGGATCTTCTAAAATCTTTTTAGAAGATCTTGGCTTTTGCCAAGGCCTGCACTTCAATACTTTTTTGCCTACCTTATGCTACACAGATTCTCCCAAACAATTTCCACTCCTTCCTGTTCTCTGACTCCCTTTGACTTAACCTTCTTACACCTTCCTTGGCTGATATAACTACCTTTATGAGTCAAATTTCATAAAGCTAGTTGCTCCATGCTTTTTTTAAATCCTTTTTGGCTTCTGCTGAAAGACTATGTACTCCTAGAACCTTCTTAAGAAATTAAGTTTGCATTGAATCAATGGAAAATGCCAACAATTTTGAACTTTTTACAGATATGACTATGGATGATGTTCGAGAATACGAGAAAAATATGCATGAAAAAACCAACATTAAAGTTTGCAACCAACATTCATCTACTGTGGATGAAATAGAGAGCCATGCCAAAGCAAGAGTATGTCAATTTTTAAAACATATTGCCCATCTTTAAGTAATATACCTGCACAGATCAGAGAAGAACAGCCAACTGATCTTGCTGATCAGTCAGTGGAATTTTTGGGCAATTTTGCCTCAACAGGAACAGAATCTTTCTCCATGAAGTGCAATCCTTTCTTTTGCACTGTAAACTGCCACTGATGTAAGAAAGGGTGGGGTTGGGCTCGCATACAAGTCCCTGTCTTCGGGGAAAACAAAATTCTCTAATTTGAGTTGGATGCATAAAGCAGTAGTTAAATGTCAGTTCTACGTTCTATATTTGAATAGTTAAAAAAAAAATAAAAATGCAAGAGTTCAGACTTCTTCAGTCAAAAAGCCAGGAACATGGAGAGTGGAAAATTTCTGTGGGAATAATAAAACTCTTTGCTTCACCAGGAAAGAAAGCTAATGACTTATTCACTAATTTTAATGTCATCATTGATTAGCTACCAACAAGGTGAGAAGAAATACTTTCAGAAGTATATACCAGCAATCTGTGAAAAAGGGCACATTGATGTGTAGGTGCTCTGATTCAGATTTTGGAAACCGTAAGAATGCAGGTTCCTAATTTAGGCACCTCAAGTGGATGCCTAACATTGGAAATTATTAGTATCTGCAAATAGAAAAGATGCAGTGATATTTGCTTCTAAAAATGTTATTGTTTCTTTGTTTCTGTGAACAGAGCAGAGATGGTTTTACTCAAGTAACAATTGTGGGGCACGGCCTGAAGTCCTAAATCCTTTGTTCTTAGTAAAAATTCTCACCAGTATGAGATGTTATCTACAGGGTAAACAGGAGGACAATTCTTGTGTTTGTTTTGCTGCAGTTCCTTGGCATCAAAGTTACTCCTTACCTGTTCAGTGAATAGACTTTGGCTCTACACTTCAGGATTTGGCTTTGTATGAAATTTGCCATCCTGAGTTTCCATGTGGCAAAATTACCATTGAGGTCAGGACAGAATTTGTCATTTATGAAAAAAAGAAAGAGCAGGGATATATTTCACAGTCTGAGCCTTCTAAGCTCAGGGCAAGGACTTGTTTTACTTGAGAGTATATCAGAATAGAGGTGAATTTAAGGTGAGTATAAGTTAAAAAGCAAAATTCAGCTGAAGGGATAATGAGTATTTCATGTCTGAATTTAAAATATACAGTCTTGGAGGATACCTTGTAGTAAGACTTCAATCAATTTTCACTTAAATGGCCAGTAAGCTGAGAAATCATCCTGTCTGGTTTCACTGTGATTCATTTAAGACAAGCTTTGTTTTATTTTATATAGGAGTCTTCAATCAAAAATAGCTGAGATAAATTCATGGTCTCCCTTTGCTGTTGGGGTGTTTTCAAACAGTTTGAGTTCAGAAAGACTACACACTGTTACAGAGCAAAATAGAGTGTAAATCAGCAAATCAGGTTCAAATCTATCTCCAACACAAGTAGGTGTTGGAGACACAGTTCCTCCTGTTTATTTAACAGACCACCTGTTTATTTCCACCACTTATCTCAGATTTGAAAAGAACTTGGTCCTCCCTCCTAATAACTGGCACTGGCACAGCTCTGTAGGCTGAAAAGGCCCCTGGAATGTAATCTGCAGTGAGGAGAGAAGGCAGCTGGCAACTTGCTTGGTTTTGTTTATTTAACATCATGTTGTAATACAACATAAAGCTTCTTCTACCTAACATCTGCAGCCAAGGCTACAGATGAATGCAGCTGGCTAATATTAAAAAGTATCGATGTACTGAAAATACATCATTTTGCCTTTTGTATGGTAAGCTCTATGGCCAGTCCCATGGCTCAGACACTCAGATATGCCAGAATTTTGTGTTGATTAAAATGCTAGTGTTTGTATTTCTGGGTTGGTTTTTTTGTTTGTTTGTTTGCTTGGGTTCCTTTTTGAGCTTTGAGGACTCGGAGAATCTATTAAATGCCTTAATGAAACTTGAATGAAACTGCTAAATTGTAGTCTTGAAAAGGAATGCCATATACCACAAGATTTACAAAGATGTCACACAAACTGACAACAATGGATGAGAAAGAGTAGAGAATGATAGCAGTAATGTCTTTATCATTTGCAGAACTTAGTTCTTTATTATTTGATTGTGAAGCATAAATTATCCATATCCTACCACACTCCCACGGGGTTTTAATCACATCTCCCAAAGATTTATTATGTTTTATAAAATAATTACCCAGAAAGAACTCAGAAGAAATATTACAGGGCAGATTCTCATGCGTTGGGAAGAAGGGGTTGTTGGTTTCTGTTTTGTCTTTGGTAGGAGTCAGCTCTTTCAATCAGTATTTTTCAGATACTGGATTTTGCTCTGTTCTACTTGGGGTAGTTTGAATATTTTGAGTTTAATTGTGTGATTCTTTCAAACACAGATTTACTGTGGTGTTCAGTGAAAACCATACAACTTATTTTAGTTGGTTTAGTGGACATCTTAGAGGCAATATAGGCATGAAGCAGCAGGTTTCAGAATGTCATACATATTATGTTTTTTTTCTCATGTTACCCATTTGCAGCAGATGTCATTCATTTAGGATTTTATCAAAAAAAAGTTTTGGACAGCTCAGTTTAGAAAACCTTATGCTGGGATTGCTCTGCCCTCTTGTGGGTTTCTACAGCACTGTGACACATTGGTCACCTGCATGAGAAGACTTTCACTACTTCTGAAACATCCTGTGGACCTGATTTTCCATAGCAAAGTGGCTTTGACATTTCATCTCATTTTGCCTGTTTTCCAGGGATGTTGGAAAATGTGTTGTGACTATCAGGTCTGAGGGAATTGTTTAGGCATTCTTAGTAGAAAAGCATAATGCCCCAGTTCTGTGCAAGCAATGGTAACTGGAAGTCACTGGAAGCTCTGTATGGGGAGAGAGAAGTTTTGATAATTGATAATTGATAATTGCAGTAGGGAAACAAACCAGTGCCAGGCATTTGTCAGTTTGTGTTCATAATGTAGACAAACAAAAAAAAGTCAGTTTTGTTTTGTTTGAAGTTCTGAAAAATTCTACTTGCTGACTGTGTATCTAAATATATTCTTTAATTGCCTGTGAAATGGCTTGACTTTTCCATCAGTTCCTGATATAGCACTCATTATTCAGTTCAGACACAGACCCAGATAGAAGAACCATTAGCACGTGCTTAATGTACTTCGTTTTCTTTACATTGGCCTTTTATTGTACTCCAGTCAATGCATTAAAATAAGATGGAATTCATATGGAGAATCATTGAATGATACGCATGATAAGAAATCACTTTCTGATTTGAAATTTGGTTGGAAGTAGTTTAACTGAGTTAATTAAATCATTTGAAATTATTCTAACATGTCATTTGTCTTTCTTTTCTTCTTATTGAAGACATGACAATGGATGAAGTCCGAGAGTTTGAACGAGCAACTCAGGAAGCTACCAACAAGAAAATTGGGATTTTTCCACCTGCAATAGCTATCTCTAACATTTCCATGCCTTCTTCAACCCGCAGTGCTCCATCTAGTGCTCCATCAACTCCTCTCTCCACAGATGCTCCCGAATTCCTAACAGTTCCCAAAGACCGGCCTCGAAAAAAGTCTGCTCCAGAAACGCTCACTCTTCCAGATCCAGAGAAAAAAAAACTTCAAATTAACTCAGCATGATTCCTCCTGATAAGCCATGTCTACCACAGCAAGAGTAACATAATACAGTTTCTAGAAAGGTCATGGTGGTTGGTTGGTGTTTGTTGGATTTTTTTTTTTGTTCGTGTTTTTTGTTTTTTGTTTTGTTTTGCTTCAGATAATCTCACTGTTGTGGAAAGATTGCTTCTTTCCTCAGGCTTGATCCTTAAAACCTTCAGAGAAGCGCATGCAAGAGAATGTAATTTATATATTCCTAAAGCAGTGTTCCAAGCCATATGGTGCATCTTACTGACCTACAATGAAATAGTCTGAGGAGAACCCTATAAAAGAAAATAAATCTTTCTGTAGCAGTATCTCTACGTACAAATCCACATCTAGGTCATAGCATTTATAATTAGGAATAGATGCTCAGTAAAGCTGCCAAGGACTTCTGAGGCAAATTTGTGCCAAGCAGAATGCAGGGTTAACTGGATAAAAAAGCTCCAATTTTCTTCTTTTATAACTGATTTTAAAATCCATCCTACTCTCAGGCTTTTCATGTATGTTCATAAACCTTTGACCTGCAATTCATTGTACGTGAACACCAACAGCAATCACTCAGATTCATATTTTGCTTAATATGACTCAGGATTTGGGGCCTAGCTAACAAACATGAAACTTTTCAAACCTAAAATATCACTGTATTGAAGCCCCAATTGTAATTAATTATACTGACTTTGAGGCCATTGAACTATTTCTATCTTGCACAGAATTTGTAAAAGAAACCACCTATTTCTTGTAGATAATGTATTTTAATAGCTTTCCTTTTGTGATCTCTTAAGTTCATATTGGTGTTCCAATGATGTTCCATGTACAAATTAAAAAAAAAAAAAAAAGAAAGAAAGAAAAAGCAGCTAAATTGAGCCAGTTGAGAGGGAAAACCAATGAATTTTGTCTTGTTCTCACTGAAAGAAGAGTGGTAGTTACCCTGTAAGACCTTGAATGTAAAGGAAAGAAAATACGAGATATCCTTTTTCTTTCCTGGCTCTCACCATTCCGAAACAGCACAATCTCTACTAACAAAAAGCTAGTTCCAGGCTTTACCACCGCCTTTAGGGAAGGAGTGAATAAAATAAGTCACTTGGAAAAGCAAATGAATCGTGGGGCTGTTCAGTCCATGTAGGGTGACAATAAGGAAACAGAAGACCTCCTGGTCTGCATGTGAAATCACTCTTCAATCTCAGGAATTAAAACTTAGAATGGATGCTTCCCAGAAGGGAAGTGTAGATTGAGGGGGGAAGAGAAAAATGAATTGCAAAAGTGTTCTCTTCCTTCCTTCTTTACTTTTCAAAATGTAAACTCAGTGAGAAACTTTCCCTCTGACCCCCATTTGGGGTACTTTGTTCTCTTTCATACAAATTGCTATTTAATTAATATCTATCTTGATGGGTAGCTGTAGTAGACATTAAATAAGCTGCTGTTCAATTCCCAGTGAATGATAGCTGTTACATGAATGATACGATCAAAGTGGGTGGTATTTTGTACCACTGGTGACGTGGTACATGGATAAAGAGAAGAGAGTCCTCCAGAGCTGAACTATCATTGAATATTGAACAATCAGTTTGGGGATGGCCTTTTACCTGTACAGGACGTTTGTGCCATCTTCTCAGCACAATGTAATGATTTGACTGGCTTAAATGCACTGAACTTCTCAATGGCTGTAGATCCAGTAGAAGTTATGTTGAATGTGTGGTATTTATAGGGTAGTTTTAGTAGCAGGAGAGGTAATTCCACTGTCAACCTGCACTGAGAACAAGTGTATATTTGATTAATAGTTAAAACCCTGTAGCTAGCAAAATCCAGAAGCTCTTTGTAGGTTAGCTATGGTCTGACTTCATGCTTCCTCCCACTTACTGTCCATGTTTTGCTTTGCGTTTCTTCCCAGAGTTTGTAATTCTGTGTAGTTAGTAAGCTGACAGGTGATGATTTTTTGTTTGAAAAAAAAAAAAAGCCGCTGTGATGCTGCAAACAAAACTTTATTGCATTAGTTTATGATTTCAGCTTTAAGAGTGTGCAAATTAAGTAATAATGAGTATAACTGGTCTAATCTTTATTATTTATTTAGTAGCAAGATTGAGACATTGGCAGAGAAGGGAAACCTTTTAAAAGATAAACTGTTGTTGGTTGTTTTTTATTTCCTGAATTTAACTATGTAGAAATAGTTTAGGTCTGCTCCACCTGATGCAAGTCTATTTTTCAATTAATTTGTTGTTTGTCAAAGGAAAAATTGCCCAGCTCTAGTTAGTCGTAATTTCCTTGTGCTTACGTGTTACTGTTTCTATAGAGGTTTTGGCATCTGGGTTTGTTACAGATTACTAGACCAAAGCAGTTATACCTTTACTCATGTTTAACTGATTCATTTCAAATCCCATGTGGATAGGATGATTATCACACCATGTAGGTTTGGGAGGTAAGGCATGTATGAAAATTATTAACATGCCTGAACAGGACACATCTTGTAGCTGTGTAACAGACATGTAGGAGAAAGACACTGATCGTGTCACAGAAAAAATGCCAGACCCATTAATGCTGTGTCCATCGGCATGTGCTGCTGCCGTAGTACTTCCACCAGGCAGTGCTGGTCTTGAGGAGTACCAGATTTATTGACCAAACAGCCTGAATTCATTGCTGGCCAAAATAAGGTTCATGATCATCCACGTTGCTTACTAATGAAGGTAAAAAAAAAAAAAAAAAAAAAAAAAAAATCTAGATATCTTCATTGCTTTGGATAAGAAATATGCCAGGCTTTTCATCATCGATGTTAGTAACCTCTGCCATGTTCTACTTTGTTTTCCCCACCAGACAGTAATTAACCAGTTTGTCCATAAGAAGTTTAAATATCATCTCTGTTCCTGTGTTTTTTTTATTTTGGTTTTGAAGCAGGATAGCTTCTGGAATATTCCACAAAATCACACAACGTGAAATGGAAAGGAAGGTCAGAATGCTTGGGTAACATCTTGAGGCAAAGGGGTTGCTTTCATTACTGATTTTGTCAGAATGCTTTCTACTGCATTTTCAAGCATCTTTATTAGGAGAAAAATATCATTTTGCAGGTATTCATTACTTCTTTTGCAAAAATAAATGATGTAAATAGTGAATACATCTGTAGAGAATATGGTGGCACCCAGCAAAGGTGAATGGGCACAGCAGCTGTGTATTCACTGCTCACTGCCATAGTGAAAGAAGAATGACATGCTATAATTCTGCTAGGACTTCATAAGGATTTTTTCACCAAGGAAAATGCAGTTCAGAGTAAATAATGTGATTACTTTGTTTGGGCTTCTATTAAAACCTTCTCCCAGCTTTGCTCATATTTTTATATATATTTCTTGTAGAACACTTGTAACAAAATAACTGGCAATTGCAATCTTCAGAAGGGCAGACCTCCTCATAAATTAAAAAAGGAGGCACCTAGGAAAGGAAATACTATGAGAAGCAGCACATTCCTGAAACACACACTGAATGGGATTTCTTATGAATGTAATTGCTGATTTTGTAAATGACTGGATAAATCCTGTGGAAAGAAAGTATTTGACCTTATTCTTTGACTTTTTATTATTATTATTATTATGGAAGGTGATTGTGTGACATCTAGTAGCCATTTTGCATTAACTGCTGCTGTAGAGATTTTGAAATGGAGATATTTGTTCCTTGACTTATTTTGTAACAAGACCGCTACGATTTGTTAAAACTGCTTTGAAGCTTGCTGCACTATAACTTCCAAACAATGTGTTATCATTTGAAATAAGCCAAACGTGTATGCTTTTTATGAGTTAGTGCAGTAAGAGAGAATTCATGATCTTGTCAATAGGAGCTTTTTTTGTTTCCATTGTTTGGACTTGGTTTTATATGTGTAAGTTAAAATTGCTAACTACGTCTAACAATGTTTTGCTTTAAATGAGCAGCATGGTCATTGAATTACAATCTCCTGTAGTTTTGTGGTGTCACTTAAACAGATTTCATTGGTTTATTTCATTTCTGTGATAATTCCACATGACTCTGAATGTCCAGTAATTCATTTCTTTTATTTAGAGCTCTGATAGCTACATTAGGCAATCCATTACTACCATCAAAGAAGGACCAAGTTTTGAATTGCTCTGCATTTTAAACAATGCAAGGCTAAGCAGGAGAATTTGATTGTCATATTTTTCATCCATTTCAGTTAGTTTTTGATTTTTCCTAGTTATTTATTATTTTTAATATTGTATTTTTCCTCGCATTTTGTTGTAAATAAACTACCAACAAGTATTCTTTACAAGTGTGGCTGTTTTCTTCTACTCTTCTCTGGCAAGGAACATGGCCATTAACATTTCTACCACCAGCTCTGCAAGTCACTTCCTCAAAATTAAGTAGCACAAAGAATTGGCATTGTAAGGGAAATTTAAACCGCTTAACATCTGATAGGTCTTGTTGCTCCTCAGCTTTTAAAGACTTTATCAGGGTAGCTGCCCCCTCGGGCTCAGGTTAGCCCATTCATTTGTAAATGACCATTTGGTTGATAAGGAATTTTTTCAGTAGGGAGCCATTTCTAGTTCTCCATGCAGAGTTTTGCAGCGCAGTGTTGTAGTAAATACTGGAAAAGAGAACACTGGGAACCTCTCCAAAGACAAGACTCCTTCGTACCTCAAGTCATTTCATTTCAGTCAATGGAAATGTCATGTGTACAATGTGTACAATGATTCTTTAACTTTTTAAGCAAGGGCTTACTCCATACGCATAAAGCTTTCTGTGCCCCAGAAAATTTCTAGGTGCTTACTCGGTATAGAAGTGCTTCACAACAGCGTAGGACTGGAAATAAGGAACAAATATATGTATCAAAAACACTTCAGGTAGAAATGACAGGATTTACCCTGTAAACTATCGGGTTGCTACAGCTGCTCTGCAAGATGAATCACAGCCAGCCAAAAGCACGCAGCAGCGGGTGATGCGACGTTGCCAGATGCAGGGCATTTTGCAGCTCTGGTTGCAGAGGTGATCAGTACCACGTCCCAAACGGGCTGAAGGAGTCACCTGGAGTAGATTCCCATGACCAGCTAAAGAAATGCTGACACAGGATTGCGATAACGACATCAGAGGACAGTGCAAAATGTAAAGTCATGCCTAAAGGCAATCAACGCAATGCACCTGGCACGAGGAAGAAGCTGTGAAGTATGGGGTGCAGCAGTGCCCTATGTGTTGGATGGGACGGGGACATCCAGGTACAATCCAAGTTAATGGCATTGGTAACCACACAAATGAGCCAGAAACCACACAGTGCTGCGGCAATGACTTCTTGGTGGCTTTGCATTAAGATCATGTTGGGATGAGTGTGCTGGGGCCTCACCTTGCAGACAGCCAAGGCTCTGGCTGAGCCTTTGCCACCCAATTGCACTTGTGACTGTTCTTTGTGCTTTTGGTGTTTTTTGTTAGCTTTGTTTTTATGTTTGGAGCTTGTATTACAAAGACTTCTTCAAAATTTACAGATAAAAAACTAATGCATGCACACACATTACAAAGTGGATAAAAAACTGGACCCAATCCTTTTGCAATTAAAATCAGTGGAGCTGGTTTGTGCTCTTGCAGAAAGAACAGATTCCACTGCTAAATCTTTACAGAATTCCTATCTAATGAGACATTGAATTAATTTAATCTTAAAGCCAGCAGCACTTTATTGTGTAGATGCAGACTACCGATGCCTGTTACCTGATGTCCTTTACTAACCTGCGCTACTGATGCATGTTTCTGCACAATGAGGCTCTGCACGATGAGGCGCTCACACAACGCTACAAAAGTCTGGGGAAATAACGGGAAATAATCCGAGTAACGAGTAATCTGAGCATGAAACACAACTAAAACGTGCAGGACGCGCTGCGCTTTTCTGCTCTTTGGCAATATCCCTTGGAAGAACCTCCCAACACCTTGCAAAGACAGAGGCAGGACCCTCAACCCCACATTTTTGCGGATTTCGGCTAAAAAATAACAATAAACGCGCACGGTCCCCACCGCTCCGCTCCCCCGCCCCCGTGCCGAGCGCCCTCGGCCATTTCCGCCGCCCCCGGGGCCGAGCCGCACCGCGCATGCGCCGCGTGCCCCCCAGCCCTCCCCTGAGACGCGGGGATTCTCGCGATAGGTGGCGGCAGCGCTAAGATGGCGGCGCTGTGCGAGGCCTTCACGCTCTGCGGCCTGGGGCCCAGCGGCGGCGTCGGGCAGGGTGGGGGGATCCTGGCCCTGGAGCCGGGCCCCGGCCCCGACCACGTCCTGCTCACCGACCGCGGCAGGACGGCCACGCTCTTTAAGGTAACGCCCGGCACGGCGCAGCCCTGCGGAGGCAGCCGCCACCTGCTCAGGCCTGGGCCGGGGGCTCCGCGCAGCGCCTCAGGGGTGCCCCCGGGGAGCCCTCACCCGGCCCGGCCCGGCCCAGCCGCCCGCTGCCCTCCCGTGCCTAGAGCCGGGGAGTGTGGGGGCCCCGTGGGCTCGGCGTGAGGGGGCCTCGCCTCGTTCCAGGCCTGCTCGTGCCGCCTCCCCGCACCGGCTCTGCGCTAGCCCTGGGCGGTTGTTTGCTGGGCTCTTTTGCTCGTTCTCTCTCTCCGTTCCCAACGCTCGCATCCCGAGGCAGCAGGGGATGTCGCGCCTCCTGGTGTGCAGGGTGACGCGTGTTGTGTGCGGCTGTCAGCTGCCGCCCTGCTGTGGGGAGAGCCAAAGGTTTAGTGCTTGCAGCACACAAAATGAAAAAGTGCTGTTATGCTGGCTTTTTTTTGTAGTGCGTGTATATATTTCGTTGCATGAAACTTCATCAAACATTTGTTTTTATCTTCTTGTTTGGCTGTCGTGGTCATGGCACTAAGGATTGTATCCTAGCAAATTTACAATATAGTCTTTTCAGATATTCAGTGCCACTGACTAGAACATGCAAAAATATAAGTGTATTGGTAAATATGTCCAACATAGCCCTAGTCTGAGGAGAGGGAGATAAGCACCCTCAGAGCAGCAAAATCTAACTCATACATAACATGATTTTAGACGGTAAAAGTCATCATTCTTGATCTCAGCATATTGAAGTGGGAATAGAAGAGGTGCTTTCCTGTGCATAATTATATTGGTGAGTAAAAGCAACTTATATTTGTGGCTAAAAGTAATGTTCGTGCCATGTATCTTGCCTATGCTTCATGGCATAAGCCCGTCTAAGTGTTACAGGTCAAAGATATTTCTCATGTGAAAAGAAGTTGTTAATTAATCCAGAGCTCTTGGATATTACCTTGAAATTTCTAATATTAAAGTTAGCATTGCCCAGGCAGAAGTCCTGAGTCCTGTTAGCATACCAGTTTCCATATTTTAATGTTCTCATTCATATCCGGTGTGGCTAGGTTGTGTTTTCTTTCTGCCATGAGAGAAATCCCCAATGTGTACCGTGTTCTACTTTAATTGCCTGTCTTTGTCTTGATTTTTTTTTCTAGGTTTCAGATCAGAAGCCACTAGGCTGTTGGTCAGTTAAACATGGGCAGATTATCACAAGTCCAGTCGTATGCAACTTTGAAACTCATGAATATATAGCTGTTCATGATGACAAGGTGAGATTCTTTTCTTAAAGCGAAAAAAAATGTAGTGAGACTTCTTCCCTACCTTCATTCACTCAGAAGTTGGTGTTTAGCTAACTGGAAATGCGTGGAACTCTGCATAGTCTGCTTGGTGACATGACTGAGCACCAGTTATGCAGTGGCCCTTTAGATACTGAAGCATTCCCAGTGAAGAATGCCTCATACGTATGTTCTCAAAGAAGAAGTTATATGTTGCATGAACAGTTTAGAGCTGCACGATCATTGTGTTGAAAAAGTTCAGACCTACATCCTTGTCTTACAGTTAAACATTTCCTGTTTGTGTACCTCTGGTAGTGTTTACTCAGCACATGCTGAACATTTGTTTGTTGTTGTTCATGAAATGCTCTTCCTGACCTTTCATTGTTCTTAAAACATTCTCTTCCAGATCAGGTCATCTGTACCTCAATCTGTCTCCAACACTTTAATCTACTTTCATTTAGAATTCTGCTGTATCTTTTTCGTAGCCTCATTCTTTCCTATCCTTTGTTTCAAGTTCAAGATCTCAAGCTGTATTTGTATTCCTGTTGTTTCTGTGTCAGCATCTTCCCCTGCAAACTTTCCAAGTCTGTTTTTACTAAGGCTACTGTGAATACTTAACTGTATACTTTCCTCCTGTGTTTCAGTAACGTGCAATTGCTGTTACTTTGTATGATGAAAAGTCTATGTGACTGTTTTATTGTGCTTAAAAGGCGATGCTTCTCTTTAAGGTTTTAAGGATCTGGAAGGATGAAGATGTTAACTTGGACAAAGTATTTAAAGCAACAGGTAAGTTTCTTACGTATGTTCACTTCTATGTTAACATCCTGAATCTTGCTAACTTTCATAGTGCTGGTAAAATCAGTGTGATTAAAGTGTAATCACATTGTGATTAGAGGTGTATAAATGGTTGTTTGAACTCCTTAACCTTAATTATGCTTTTTCTGATACCATTCAGAAATGTGCCATTCATTAGGGTATTTTCATGGCTCTTTGTTAGTGATCTTGATTATTAAGAGCGTTTCACAAAATTGGCATTATTGGGATCTTGCAGGTTCACAATCCTTATATTACCCTTTATTGAAGGAACTCTTAAAAAATCCCATGCTAAACACTTGGCTTTCAAGGTACTGTACTGACGAACATAGAACTCAAATTACTTTTTTTTTCTGTATAGCTTTCAGCTGATGTGTACAGAATACATTCACTGCCCCATGGGGATCCATTGGTATTGTTCAAAGGAGGTGGTGTTCGAACTTTAGATGTTCTTCTGGAAGCCCCACAACAAGAAATTGAAAACATTATCTCAGATGAAGTTATCAAGTAAGTGATACAACCTTAGGAATCTTCTTGATCAGAAGAATCGATGATGTTGAAAGTTGTACCCTTTTTATGTGAAGGGAAGAGACATAACCTGAAGGTCAGGACACTGGGGTTGGTTTGTTGATTTTCTTTTTTAATGCATTTATTTTACAGCCTATAATTTTTTTTTATATACAGATATAAAAAACATGAGACTGCCTAAGTAATATGATATGACTTAGGTATAATCCCAGAATTTAGAAGAGGTTCATACAGCTTTCATTTCTTAGGTGGAGTGAAGCTTTCCTGGAAGGTCAGCAACCTGTCGTAATTTTCATTACTGAGAAGGTGAGTTGTTTTTATTCTGTTAAACTTTTGTAGCAGCAAATCTATGTT